ACTTTTTTGTGTCGAAGCAATAAACCGAAAGTGGACCATGCTTTCTATTGTAATGTCTAAGGGCAGTACGTCAAATGTATGGACACACACTCACACGCACTAAAGAAGTGCGCCAGTCATTGAATCCTGCATAGAGGTTTTCAGTTGCATTCTGTATTTAGCTTTTTGCTTGTGTGGTGGCTCTGAACTGTCAAAACACCTCTCAAAGCACAGTTATCATATAAAAAGCAAAAAAAAAAAAAAATCAAACCCGGTTCAAATATTTTTTTATGACGGACAAAAGTTTTGGAAGTAGTGTGTCAATACAATTGACAACGCGAGGTCGAATTTATTTTTTAACTTTTGAAAACTTACTGAAAATTATTGACGAAAATTTCGGATTCAGTGTGCCAAAACCCTAAGCTGAATTTATACTTTCACCTGGCGCCGCATCGTGCACCTCTGCTGACTGCACGCACACCTCGCGAAACGGACGAGGCTTTTATACTCGCCGCGTTCGCCGTTGTGATATTCTTTAAAATGACAGGGGGCAGTCAAAAGAAGCTGACCTTAAAATCAGGCAGATAAACAGAGAAGTAGAAAGTTCCATGAACTACGACATATCATTTATTTCATTTAGTATTTCTAAGCTAATTATTTTTATTGTTTTTATCAATTATTTTAATGAATATAAGGATTTCTATAACCATTAAAGATTTTTAAATCAGTCTTTGATGCATCACTTGCTTTTGTTCATATCTCGGACAGTTTTACCTATTAAAGTTTATAGCAAAATAAAAGAGCACACTTGCTTAAAAATACAGAAGTTTTTTTTTAGATTTAGCCCGATCCACAATTCACACATTACTGTCTGGCTAGTTTCTGTCCTCTATTATGCTAAAAGGCAATAATGGTCCAACATTACTGACCATTATCACCAATAAAGCCTACAGAAACAGGCATCAGTATATTGTAAACGATAGGTTCAAATATTCCTTTTCAGTTATCAAACAAATAATCTGTTCCTTAATTATAGTTTTGTAACTATTAAATTGTTTTAAATTCACAATTGTATACATCAGTGTAAAAAATCTTTGGTGGAAAAACATATACTTGTGATTGTTTACCTGGTCTCCACTTTTGCCATGTCCTCTTGTTTTTTAAAAACTTGTCCTTCAAGTTTTTCCAAATCTTTTAACGAAAACTTTCTCCTTTCCCACGGCTGTTGCTATTTCTAGCCAATAATTATTGATCATCTGGTTATCTCTATGATCAGAATCTAAAGATGTCTGTACAGTCGTACTGTTTCAGACAAAATTTCTTTAAAGTGTTTCATATTAAACTCAAATGCGGCGCCGCGCTCTGTTCATTCGAGTCTCAAAAAATGCCCTGCTCACCACCAGCCAAAATCATGTCGCGCGCACCCAAAGCGAACATCCGCAATCTCCACAATGACATCACATTCGCCGTGTGCACTCAAGCGAACAAGCGGACACGTCGAGTATAAACCAGGCCTAAGACTTAAAGCCACTAATAAAAGGCTATATTCCTAACAAATAGCAAGCAAAATGGGATCAGTGCTTAAAAAATAAACTGTGAAATCCATCCAGTAGCAGGAAAAACATCAAACAATTTATTTAAACTCAGGATATGATGAGGTTGTTTACACAAGATGCCATACTGGACGCACAAAACTCACTTATGGACATTTACTAAATGGAGAAGTTCCCCCCAAAATGTCAATACTGCAACAGAAACCAGGCTGTTAAACAAATATGTTTGGAATGCCCTAATTGTAATGTTATCAGACAATGTTTTTTATCTGGAGAAACTTTAAAGGAAATATTTTTAAATGCGAATTCTAGAATTTTAGATTTTTATCTTATGTAGTATTATTTATTGCTGATGATATATATATATATATATATATTTTTTTTTTTTTTTTTTTTTTGTATTTTTTTTTTTTGTTATATTTTTTTGGATATAGAATATTTACATAGCTATTTATAAAATGTTGTAAACTTGATCTGGTTTGTGAGGAAATGGCCAGAGAAGCTGATATGGCAATACATTGAAAACTCTTTCTCTTTCTAGGGCTCTACTGGTGGCTCGGCGATCGAATGGGCTCTTTCTGTGTGTTCACGCTTGGGTGGAAATGCAGAAGGTGCAAAGGACACCGCTAAAGGTGTGGGGAATGCAGTCAAAGTCGAGGATGTTGCAGAGATCCTGCACTGGGCTGAAGAATTTGCACACAACAAAATCAGAAACGTGCCCCGAACTGACTAATCTTGGGTAATCATAGACCATTTTTACCACAGTGGATCTATTTCATCAAAAATATTACATTTTCTGTGACGCATCTTCCTTTGTTTTAAAAGGATAAGGCACATTTTTGTTTGTTAAAAGCTAATTTTGATATTAAATATGATTAAATTATTTATTCCCATTTTGCGTTCACTGTATAATAGTAAGTCTGGTGTAGAAACGTGTTATTGAATTAAAGATATGATCAAGAATGTTTCATTTTAAAGTTAAACATTAATACATTATTGTGTTTTTTTGCCTTTAATGCATTTATTAAATTGGATGGTACAAATAAGACAGCAAAGCGCTGTGTTGAGCGTAGGCAACAGGATCGACTAAAACCTTTGTAAACATTTTATTTAAATTGCTTTGTCTGAAAAGTAACTTAATTACTCAATAAGTAATTAAATTGCTTGATTTAATACTACTTAAAACATATATTTATATAGTGGGTACAGAAAGTATTCAGACCGCTTAACATTTTTTACTTTGTTATATTGCAGCCTTTTGCTAAAATCATTTGTTCATTTTTTTTTTCCTTATTAATGTAGACACAGCACTCCATACTGACAGAAAAACACAGAATTGTTGAAATTTTTTGCAGATTTGTTGAAAAGAAAAGCTGAAATTTCTGAAAGTTTTCAGACCCTTTGCTCAGTATTTAGTAGAAGACATGTAGACATGATCAAGACGATCTACTGCAGTTCAAACTGAGCATTAGAATGGGGGAAGAAAGGTAATTTAAGTGATTTTGAACATGGCATGGTTGTTGGTGGCAAACGGGCTGGTCTGAGTATTTTAGAAACTGCTGATCTACTGGGGTTTTCACACACAACCACCTCTGGGGTTTACAGAGAATGGTCCAAAAAATAGAGAAAATATCCAGTGAGCGGCAGTTCTGGGGGTGCAAATGCCTAGTTGAGGAGAATGACCATACTGGTGTGAACTGATAGAAAGGCAACAATAACTCGAAACAGCAACCATCTTGCTGTGAGGCGACAGTGCTAACCACTGAGCCACTGTACCTACTTTTTGGAATTTTAGTAACTGAATTTTTTTGTTATTTTAATAACACCCAACACTGCATCCAGCACAATTTCAATGTATCTGCACAAAAAAAAGATTTTAGCTCCTTGTTAAAATTACTCATTTAAAATGAGCTGAAACAACTCAATCTTGTTAGTTTTTTGTTTGTTTTTTGGTGGAGGAGGGGGGACAGCTTAATTGTTTTATGTACAATCTAATTAAATTTGTGAAATCGATTAGGTTAACTTAATTGATTTGAGTTGGGGCAACATGATTAAAGTGTGTGGAGTCCTGCATTTTTTACAGTGTGGTCACGGTGCATGAAATAAAAGCATTGTTCTGTGAGTCAGAGTCAACTGCATGCTAGAATCACCTACATGAATTATGTGACATTAGAGAACCATCACATTCAGTTGTCGAAGTGACAATCGCTGTTAAGTCACAGATGATCATTTATTAAGCCTAATAAAATTAATTGTGATTTCATCAACAGACTATTTTTTTTTTGATGATGATGATGTTTATGGTTTCACTTACATGTTGTGCATCAATAAGTTTTGATAACTTGACAATAAGACTTTTTTTTCCTGTTGCACCACATACCGAGAGAGATTAGGTTGAGTTGATTAGATTGTGATTTGGTGACTGTTGAGGTCTACACTGAATTCCCTGTTCAGCTTTGAGAACCAGTTTGACGTGCTTTGTGATGTGGAATGGTATACTGGAGATAACATGACAAAATACGGGGTTATAAAGCAATGGATGTGGTCAGTATTTGTACCTACCCACAATGTGTCAACAAAACACCCCCTGCACATTTACACCACCCAGCAGCAGCATGAACAGTTAATTTAAGGTTGGATTATAAGGTCAAATTCTTGATTCTGCCATCCGAATGTCACATCAGAGTACCAGAGTACCTGTTTTTCTATCCTCCTTTGTCCAGTTTTAAGTCTGTGTGACTTCATTTTGTCTGAGTGGTGTGTTCTGCAGCTGAGCAACTACATGCAAGTGAAATAAAAAAGAAGTTTTAGCCAAAATGTTAAAAGCCTTTCTAAGTTGTTTGTATAGGCTTGTATTTTACAGTACTTGAAAGATACTTAAGATAATTCTGAACTCTAGTTTATTTGACCAAAATCACACAGTTTCACATCCTGAAAGTTTTTCCCCTCATAAATAAAATAAATACATTTTGTAGTATATAGAGACAGCTCTTATCCTTTTAAATAATATTATTTCTTCCGTTTAATTCACAGTAAGCTATGTTGTATGGTGTAAGCTCGTGTACATTTTGGTCACCTCCATAAGACTGTTTCCCTCATTTAAAATGCAAATCACGTTTACATGTTGATATTTTTTCATAATCTTTAAATTTTTAGACGTTTTGGAAAATATAAACAGATGATTCTGTGTACTGTTAACATTCTCTGTGAATTTGTTTCAAGTTTTTTTTTACTGCAAATGTCACATTCACAACACTGCTATGCTCAGTTGTTGTGCTCACCTAATTCATGTTTAAATGGCTGTGATTCTAACAGACAGAACCAGTTTGGCCATCTAGTGTTTCTTGGTTTTCCCCAAACGATCCTTTGTATCCCCTGAGTGTGTGAGTATGGGTGTGTGTACATTAGTGAGTCATCAGTTTCTGAAATTCTCAAACCAGTCTTTAGACCAACAATCATCACTGTGACCGCAGTCAATCATCCCACAATGAAGTTCAGTCAAATATTCTTTACTCCTCATTTTGATGCTGGTTTTCATTGCAACAGATAAAACAATCCACATAATTGCACATAATTGCTCGCTGAGAGATGCTACCATGTGATTTGTTAATTATACATCTGCTTTGACAGCTGGCATTTATTGGCAGCTATTGTCTTGACAGCAAGTTTTCAACCACATATTCACATACTGATGCACATCTTACAAACAAAGTTAATATTCGGGGGGAAAGTATTAATAGCAGTTTTATCTATCATTCGCAATAAAAACACGGGGATGTGCCTTAAGTTCAAAGTAGGCATAGAAATGTTTGACATAATCGTCTGGAAGCGAATGAAACACCCCGCCTGATCGTAAGCTGATATGTAAATCCAGATGTTCTCTCCCTCCCTGATGTCAAGCCGGTCGGGTAACACCTCCAAATATTTTAGCCCATTTTGTGTCCTCTTCAAACATGCTCTTGAGAAACCTCTTGTTTTTGTTACGACAAACTGTTAGACTACATTTAATTTAATAGCTTAACGTTTACTTTATTGATGCAAGGTTTATTGTATTTATTTATTTATTTTGTACACGCGAGGTCATGGCAATAGGAATCTTATCCGCAAGGTAAGTTCATCTCTGCTTTTACCTTTTCATGATGTGCTTCATAAAACTAAATATGGACAATAACGTTAGGCAAGAATTTTTTTATTGTAAATTCTGAGAAGAAAACTTCTTGAAAAGCAGTTCTAATAGTGATGATACACAGGGCAATGTTGCTTGATACTTTTTCTGTTAATGGGCGATACTATTGTAGTCTCACAGTGTCGCTGTATAGTTATTACTGCTCTAAAATATTTATGTTTTAAATGTCTGGGTAAAAAACTCAAACTTTCTTCCCTTTTAAACACAATATATTTAATTTTAAGACACATTTAAAATATTTTGAAACAGTAAACATGTCAGGCTAAATAATTTGATTAAATTATTCTCTTCTGCTGTCTTAATTTATGTCAAAAACAGATTTTTTTTTATTATTTAAAATGGCATATTTGAATAGGAAAAGCCTTAGGAACGGTATTGTAAAATCGTCAGCTTGGAATTATAAGGTTCTATCTGCGTTCTGAATGATATTGAGATATTGAGCTTCAAAGTTTTTGCATTCCATAGCAAACTGTGTGTAACATTTATTTATTTTTTAATAAAAAGTCTTAAAATGTAAACAACTTCCCATCCCATAATATAAACAAGCTGTCATTTTATAAGAATATGTCAATAACTTAATTTTGACAAAAATGTCAGATAGAACCTTATAATTCTAAGGTGAAGAAATATTTTGATGGTTTTAAAACCTTGAATATTTTAAACCTCGGTATACCTCGAAAACCATTATCCCATGCCTAGATAATACACCGGGTAACTTTTTGAGCAATATTGCTGGGCAATTTTGGCAAATGCTGCCATAAATGAGTTACCAGGTAAGTTTTTTTTTCTTTATTTTTTTATTCATTAATGAAAATATACAACCACAAAGAGAAGATAAATATAAGAGAGAAAAAAAAACTATAAAGCAAAGAAAGGGGTAAGTAAATTACTATATAAGTATGAAAATAAATTAAATTAAAGAGCATTACATGAAAGGTATCTAAATCAAATCAGAGTCATAGACAACAGTTCTGTACCAAAAAATCTGTCAAATTTAGTTGTTACACGAACAGTGAGTCAACTTCAATCATAAAATGTCGAAGGATTAAAGCCATGCATTTTTGTTTATGTATAAAAATGTATCAGGTCAGTTTTTGGGCAACTAATAGGGTAATGGGTGACGAACATGATATTTTTATCAAAGGTTATGATACCATAAGAATCTTATACCGGCCCATGCCTAGTATCATCAGCATAAGGTTTTATTATTTCTTATGAAGGAAATTAAAGTGTACCTAAAACAAATTCATTTTAGCCTAACTTTTAATTGCCTTCTTTTAAGTTAGCATGCCACATCCTGGTCGAGTATAAATGCAGAGCATGTGCTCGTTTAATGACATTAACTGTCAAAAGAGAAATACTGCATAAAGGGCTAAACGACTGATATAATTAGACATGCATAGTAAGAAAAGAAACAAAAACTTGCTCTTGGTGCCCAGCCCATTTCCGTCTGGAGCACAAAAAGTTTAAGCTAAATTTGTTTAAATAAGTGAGATGTTGTTTTATTTATGTTTTATAATATGTACAATTTCATCGGACATATTACCCATGGGGGTTCTATGGCTTGGCAGTTATCTTAACTTTCTTTTGAAGAATTTGAAATCTTCTTAGGTTTTGTCTAAAAGGGGTTTGAAAGTCCGTAAAAAAAAAAAAAAAAAAAAAAAAGTTATTGTGAGTTTTTATCCAAGAATTCTTGCTTTTTTCCCCAGAGTTCTGATATGAAAAGTCACAGTTCTGAGTTATAAACTTATAACTATATTGAGATGAATTCTGAATTCAAAGATAAAAAGTTGCGATAACGATATCAAGCAGAAACTGACTTTTATAGATAGGTCATCCAAAACTACAAATGTCAACATTTACTCTGCTAGGATTTTCATCCCAGGAAGAGCAAACTGCATCCCACAGTTCACTTGAGTTTTGAATTTTGCTTAAGACATTGCATTTTAAATGTGATAACATTTGAGTTTTGAATTGGGTTAAGGTCAGGGGATTGAGCTGGCCACTCCATTATGTCAATTTGTTTTTGCCTGAAATCAAGATCTGGCTCTTTTACTTGTGCATTTGGGGTCGATGTCTTTTTGATACATGCATTTAGGGAGCATTTTGTCTTCGGTATCAGAGCAACATTCATTTTCTTTTCACCTTTATTAATCTGGGGTGTCCACAGCGCAATGAACCATATGTTTTACGTAGGTTTTATGCAGCGGATGCCCTTGCAGCTGCAACCCATCACTAGAAAACACCCATACACTCAAATTCAAACACATACATTACAAACTATTTAGCTCATGTCTTTGGACAGTGGGGCAAACCAGAGCACCTGGAGGAAACCCATGCAAACTTGGGGAGAACATACAAACTCCACATTGAAATGTCATCTAACCCAGCTTAGGCTCCAACCAGTAACGTTCTTGCTGTGAGGCGACAGCGCTACCCATTGCGCTGGCCCAGAGCAACATGACCTATTCAATTATCTTGAAGATGTCAAACCGATCCATGAGACCTGGCAAACCCTACAGTCTGAGAAATATTCCCATGCATGATTTTTTTGCTCCACCATGCCTCAATTTGGTTGCTGGGTGTCATCTGTACATGATGACTATAGACCAAACATGCACCAAATAATCAGCAGATCTTTTTTTCAATTCTAGTTGTTGCCATGTGCTTGGTTAATTATATATATATATATATATATATATATATATGCCTTGACAAGCCACTGAACAGCATTCCAGTCTTTTGTATCAAGTGGCAGATATGATTTTGTGTTTGTTTGTGTGTGTGTGTGGTTTTCAACCGGAGCTTTTTGCTCAGTTCACTCACACAGTTCCACTTGCAGATACGCCAGCTCGATCTTACAAGGAAACGTAACCTAGTTACATATTGTCAAAAAAGTGATTTATATCTGGCTACTTTTTGTATTGATGACTTCATTTGTATAAAAATATAACATTTTTAGAAGGTGTGCTTTTTTTAATGTTTTTTTTTCTATAAATGAGCATTTATATTGAATTCCTAAATAATTCAGTCATTTCACATAAATCACATGAAAGGAAAGGCACTTCTCTTTGTACCACTAAATAAATCATACAACACTGTTAACTGCACTAACAATTAATAACCGAAAGGAATAAAATACTGTCCAAATTCAGGAGCCCCAATTTTAAAATGTTGTGTATGCACATATTTGTGTGTATGGAACAAATAATGCCATCCTTGCGGTTTATAAAAACGTCTATGGTGTCAAATATACCTGAGTATTTATTTGCATGTTTATGTGTATTTGCATTTTTTACAGTAGCAGGCACTTTTATCCAAATGACTTACAAATGAGAAGAGCAACAGTTTGAAACTGCTATGACAAGTCTCAGTTAATCTGAAGCTACTTTTAAATCAGTAAATAGTAATATAACAAATGTTGATGAAAACGACGTGCTTTTGAACCATAAAAAATTGGGGGATAAGCAAATCATAGTAAAATGTATGAATGAGAACGTACAAAATAATATGAAGTAACCACTAGATCAAAAAGTTTGCTATGATAGGGTTGTTTAAATCCTTTATAGGCATAGAACGATAACCGTTTTCAAGGTGTACCACTCAAGGTGGAAAGGTCAAGGTTTTAAAACCTCAAAAATTTCTGTAATACCATTCCTAAGGTATGTGTAATATTTTTTATTTACTTCGTTTTTTCCCCATCACAGTCAGTGATTCATTTGAATTCTTTAGCCTGACATGTTAACTGTTTCAAAATATTTTAAATGTTTCAAAAAATAAAAATATATTGTTTTCGAAGGGGAAAAAAGTTTTCTTTTTTACCCAGACATTTAAAAACAACATATTTTAGAGCAGTGTTCACAATACCGTGAGGTTATCATACGGTCAGAATCTTATACCGGTCCGTGCTTAATCCTTTATGAGTTTCTTTCTTCTGTTGAACACAAAAGAAGAAGTTTAGAGAATGCAGGCTGATGGGACCCGTAAACTTTCATAGATGAAAATAAAAATGCTATGGAAATCAAGTGGTTCAGCAACCAGTGTTCTTCAAAACAACTTTGTGTGTTCAGTTTCATTTTAGGTTGAACTGTCCTTTTAGGGTGGAAATTGTTTGTCAGCTGCAAACAATATCAAATATCTACAAGAGACTTGCATGGACATTTGTTTCTGTGTATTTGTGTGCATACAGGGCAGTATATACACAACATCTTATAAATGAGACCCATAGAAATCTCTAGGATATAAATAAGAATAAAACTACCAGTCTGGGTAGTTTCTAGGTAAGAGCTTTAAAGCGCTTGTACTTAGGTCAAGATTTAATTACTTACCTGTATGCGTGTGCAGACGTAAACAACAGCCTCGATTGCACAGTTCATGTATTCCTGAATACTGTATGATGCCAAAAGTTTGGCACGTAGACCAAAGTTGACCCAATGTAACCTTTCATTTGGCCTGACATCCCATCTAACATAAACCTTTTTGGGTTGTTTGTTTATTGCTGAGCTACAAAAAAAAAGCAAACTGACTTCAATGTTTCAATCAAATGTTGTAAATAAATCAGATTATTTAAAATGTAAATACTGTCACTCGACGGATAGAGGACTAGGCAGAAAACATTGGTGAGCAAATCAAGACAAAAACTAGTGTAACTCCATTCTTATAAATGAGATTGGTTTTGTCTTTACTGTAATAAGTTTATTATAAATTGTTAAAACAATTATGGTGTATTGGTTAATTTGTTTAATCTATTAGTTAATTGTTTTTCTAGTTATTTTTAAATACTGTTAAACAAAAAGGAAATTACCAATGGCAGCTATATTTACCTTCAGCAGTCAAGCCGCAGTCAAGTCTCGTTTTTGGCCCTTCATAAGAAAGAAGTTTGGGCACCCCTGGTCTAAACCACAGGGAAAAACATGTGGAAG